CCCGGGGACTCCCCCGGGCGGCGTGGGGAGCCACCCGGCCGCTGCCCCTCAGCAGCTCGGCCACCATGCCCTCCATACAGTGCAAACACCGGTCGCCCAACGGGGGGCTCTTTCGGCAGAGCCCGGTGAAAACACCGATCCCAATGTCGTTCCAGGCCGTGCCGGGGGGAGTCATTCCGGAAGCGATGGAGCCTTCTCACGGCACGTCCATATAGCCGGCACAAACAGTCTGACAACCAGCAGAGCTTTTTAATACAGAATTTAAAACAGAAAAAAAAAAAAAAAAAACAGACTCTTACATTTTTCTTGTATATATCTGTAAATAACGAAAGAATGAAGTGGGGTAAAAGTGTATTTTGAATATTCCCAATTTTCGAAGTCAGTAAAAAACAAAAAGCAAACAAAAATGTATGAATGACTTTGTAAATTTTGTTCTATATGAATAAAAAGGCAAACTACTTGTGATCGTTCTCAAGTGCCAAAGAAGACCAGTTACTGGGACTGAGGGCCGTACAACTTTTTTTTCGTGGATTTCAACATTTATTCCTTTACTTTTTTTAGAGCCAAAAAACGCCAACCCATTTCTTGCTAGCAAAGCTCACCGTGCTCACACCTCTCCTTTCCTCAGAGCCCTGTTTTGTAGTCAAGATGGCAATTCACTCGGAGAATTTAACAGCTGGTATTAGCAGAGCAGTAACAAATGTTTTAAACCTGAATTGTAACTAAAATCCAACAAACAATCAACAGAAAAAAACCTGAACTTTTCCCATCTAACAAGGATTTAAATTTCCACACGGTTTCTAAGTTAAAGCACAGGATTAGTGAATTGTGTTTTTACATGTGTACTGTGCTGTGTGGCTCTTTTTATTTAACCTTCTGCGTTGTATTATATATATATAATATATATTATATATATTATATATATAAATGCTTCGGCAAATCAGAGGTTTCAGGTCCTGGGTAAAGCTTTTAAGGAAAAATGTGATCAGCTCTTTTTTTGGGCCTTGTGTACACGAACGAAAATGGGGAGGAACCAATGACTGACAGGCGTGAGACAAGGGACAGCTTGAGCGGGAGGGAGGTGACGGCGTCCTTACAGGGACTGTGCCCTCTGGTGCGGTGCCTCTCTTCAGGACTTCAAGGAGTTCTCTGTACGATGGCTGCAGCACGCCCTGGTGAAGTCATCTCTCTGAATGACACGGCTAAGCTCACGGCTGTAAGCACAGCTCTGCTTTTTTCCATTGATTTTATCAGGAGAAACGTTTTAACGGCCATGTCCATGAGCTTGGTAGAAATGGCTATAAAATATCCTTTTTTTTTTTTTTCTGTGAAACGCGATCAAAGGACAAAAATAGAGCACCGCATATAGCTAATTTTATGTCTTGGTCTGCAAATGTTACCAGTGCAATTTCGTATGACAAAAGATCAAAACAAGGCCAAAGTACATTGTTTCCTTCCCAAACAGTAGTTCGAATGCCCGAGATACCTGATTTCCCCCACCCCCCCCCCGCCCCCTACTCGCCCGCAACCCCCCCCCCCCCCCGCCTCGTTGTTGCTAATGGGCCATCACTAGCTTTCGGGATTGGGATAATTAATTGACTATCTTCTCAAATGCATCGCTACAGCGAGGTGGCAATTTCCCTTTGTTGCGGGATTTCTTCACTTTATTAGAGCACTGCTATTTGGAAAAGGCTTTAGATCTCGGTGCAGCAAAATCACTGCCTACTTTAGGATGAAAAAACATCTTTGAACAGGGGTAAAAATGCGTTTGCATCCCGAGAAAGTCAGCAGGCAATATGGTTCATGCTTTTGGATAAATAAAAACCTTCCATTGATTGCCTCCTAATCTGATTTGCATAATTACTCAATAGGTATATTTATGAGATGATAAAGGTGCCCAAATTTTTGCTTTTACAGTTTAAGCAGTAGGGAAGAAAAGGAAGTCAAACTGTGATGTAAAGACAGCCTACTGGAGGAGCGTACTCAGCACAGCAACCTGCCAGCGAGGACCGTTGATGGTGAGCAAACAGGAGGCGTGTTCTTGAAGGGGTTCATTTGTCTCTGTTGTCAAGCTGCTGCTTGATGAAGACAATGCAGTTTTGCAGTCAGGCACAAATTGCGCCATTTGCTTCAGACTAATCAAAAATGAATAATATATAGTCAGCTGACCAGATTTATGCTATTCAGAGACTTGGCCCACACCAGCTTGAGGTCTTTTTCACTTCTCTTTCATCATACTTTTTTCTCTTGCTACCCTAACAACCCTACGGCCACCAGACGTTTCTTCCCCTGTATTTTGTTCCCTGCTTCCCATGCACGCCCCATTTAGTTATCGCAGAGCTCGCTACGCAGGAGGACTCTGCGTCTGCCAAGACACGGTGCAGCGTTCAACTATTTGCTTTGCAAAAATCCCTCTTTTTATTCCCCATCTAAGATTTCAGGGGCAGCAGAGGAGCAGGCTCCGGGGAAAGCTGCACCGCCGCGCTGGTGGGCCCCACGGTGAGAGACAGGAGCAGGGCTGGGCGGCGCAGGGGACCCCGGCCCAGCTGGCGCCACAGTGGACGCGCTCGCGCGCACGCTGGGGGTCTTCTGATCTGCTCGCCAGCAAAGCACCCTGTTCATTTTGCTGCAGCAAGGCGCAGAGCAGCGGGTTGGACCCTTGCTTCACTGAGGCGTCACTGCTCTCACAAAACATTTTAGACCTTTTTGTATTACATTTTAAATCACTGGGGAGAATGGTTCAAACTGAGCTGCCTTTGTGCATAAGATCATGACTACAGCATATTTGGGGGCTTAACGTTTACGTGTTGCATATTCACTGTTGTCTTGGCTCAGTCTTGCCATGTGCTGTAAAGCGTGCAAGTGTGGTTTCACTTTTTAAGCGATGCTGGATCTTGCTGCTTCTCCTGCACAGAGCATGCCTCACCTGTTTAAAGGCTTTGCAGGATTACAGCTACGATTATCAGGATGTTGCAGAATCGAACCACATGGCCTCAGAAAACTGTTTAAGCATCAAGCCCTATAGCAAGCAGCTGCTTTGTGCACAGGTTGAAGTGTTTTGCTGATTAATGATGGATTTAAATGCACATTTCAAGTTAAATACTTGACTAATTTTAAGCAGGTGAGTGAGCTCCCTAAACTTCCTGGGCCTATTCAGTTGTTTAAAGCTAACCACCTTCTTAAGTGCCTGGCTGCACCAGGGTCTATACTGTAAAAGCAGCAATCCACAATGGGTCTGTCACTGTCTGGTAATTATTTGTTTATATGAAAGTTAGCAAGTTATAGATTTGAGCCTGTCAACCGTGGCAGGAAGCTGTTAAATCTTTCATGTGAGAGTGGTTTAGTTTTAGATTATTTAAGCCAATCACGAGTTTCTCCTTGAGCATAAACAATGTTTCTTTCCCCATAAATTTCAGTTTTCAAAGTAAATGCAGAATGTATGATTTCCATACTCTGTCTCCTGTTTTATATTTATATCTTTATTTTGACAGTTCAAAGCATTCATTTCTATATAATGTATATTCACCACACACTCATGCATATATATATATATATAGGTACACACATATGTATACATGCACAGAGTTATTCACAGATGAAGTGAGAAATATAATTTCCATGTGATGTAAATGAGCATCGGCGCCGAGTCCTTGTGGAGCTATGCTTATGTACACCACCTGCCGATTTGACCCTTCGTTTTTTAGTATCTGATAAGATGAAGTGGAAAATTTGCACATCTTCCTGAAAACCACAAGACCAAACTGTGCCCATGCTTTTCAAACAGCACTTCCCACTGAATGTGCTTAAAACTGGGAATAACGTGTGATCCCAAATATTGGAGTTCCTGCAGGATGTTTACATTGCAAAGGCGGTGGTAAGTGACATGGAAAGCGAGTGCCTATACTTTTCTTTCATCCTGCTCTTTTGCTGATGAACTTATGCAAAAGTGACATCTGTGCACAGCACTGGTAGTGTGTCTTGTTCGATTTATCTGTTAGTTTAGATATTACTAAATTTTCATACCAAACGTGACTCAGTTTCTTCCATTTCCTTGCAATCCACTAGCTCCGGAGAATGCATTGCTGTTATCTCTGAAGAGTATGCCGTGTTTTTCCTATTGCAATGGAAAAAATAGTAATTGTGCTTTTTAATTTCAGAATTCAAACTCGATAGAACTTTTTTACGTGGAGTTACAGCTACGCGTGTGTGATACTAGCCTCGCAAAGCAAAACGCCCAGCGCTCTGCCTTGCGTTGCTAACCTGCCGTTAGTGCCCTGCAGGCAAAGTCTCCGCCAAACAAGGACAACCTGCTTTCCCTTAGTCTGCTGACAGAATAAAACACCTAAGCCTAGGTTCTCCCCTGTGTCAGTCAGCATCGCCCTCTGGTGAAAGGACCGGCCACGCTGGGTGAGAGCAGGTGAGGGTTCGGCTCTTCCCCTGGGGCCTGCAAGCGCTGCCTCCCACCAACGAGCAGTCAGTGCTGGTCCTGAAAGTGCAGGTGTTCAGAGATGGTCCCTAAAGTGAAACGGAAAGGGCAACGTTTATTGTTCTTTTGACCAATTACCATGGATTTGGGTTATAGCTGACAAAGTTTAGAGGGCAAATTTTTTTCTTAAAGAATTTAGGTGTACGTCTCCTCCGAGAGAGGTCAGAAGGTGGTGGCTGGCTGACAGGTGGGGCGCTCCTTTCCTTTCCTTTCCTTTCGGAGGAAAGTGTGTTGCCGGGGCGGCCCAGCAGCCGCAGTGCCCAGACCATTGCATTTCACGCTATTTTGCTCTGCTGGCTGGAACGGAGGCTGTGAGCGGCTGGGAATGCCATAGCGCCCAGTACAGCACACTGGGGGCACCTGCTGGGAAAGTCCCAAAGACTCCACATCCTTTCGCAGCACTGGGAAAAGCATTGAAAAAGTTGGAAGAAAACTCTGAAGAGAAGCAAAATATAAGGTAAAAAAGAACAGGTGGAGAAGGGGGAGGGGAAAAAGGGTGGTTACAACTCATCTGTTTTATATATCCGGCAAAGCTGTCCTCCTGTGTCCGAAGCATAGCTTCTGTCATACAAGCAGTGGCCTCAATTATCATTTTTCTTCATTTTTAGGAAACAAAAACAGCATTTGTTCTACTAAATACAGTTGTTACATTATTTAAGAGTTGGCATTATTTGTTTGGCGATGCCAGGTTTTTTGGCTTGATTCCCCCTCAGCTGGGGAAAATCAGCCTCGATGAAGTGACTTGCACCTGAAACAGCTCTTTCGCTGCTCTTTGGCTGTTTAGATCTGCAGCTGGGATCAA